GGGAGAGGGCCTCCGGAGAGTGCAAGGCTGTAGGGTGATGGCCTGGGCATTCGCTGACAAGAGGAGGGTTCTAGTCAAGGCTTGCGAACGCACTGGTCACGTGTCTGAGGCAATCTGGGCAAACCCTGTTTACTCACCTAATGTTATCGAGTGCACTGCTCTGGGCACTGTGGGATGCAGCTGTGAACAAAGTGAAAGAATCTGCCCCGTGGAGCTCACCTCCATTTCACCAGGCTGTTGGGAGGTGGATGTGAACCCCATGCACAATGCTTGTACTCGGTGTTCAATGAAGGTCTGTTTTCTGTCCTCTAGCCAGAACCCTTGGCAGTGTGCTCTGACAGATGCCCCCTCCCCTAGCACCTGCTTGCGTACCCCTGGTGCCAGGTGTCTCACTACCTCCCAGGGAAGCCTGCTCCAAGCTCTTTCTCTGAGAAAGTCCTTATGCCCCCATTTCTTCTCTCCTCTGAAGGCCACAGTCTCAGGCCTCATTGTTGTCTCTTGCAGAAGGGCCTGCCTCTGCCACAGCCGTTCCCGTTGCTGGAGGTGGCGGTGCCTGCAGCCTGCGCCTGCCTCCTCCTCCTCCTCCTGGGCCTCCTCTCAGGGATCCTGGCAGCCAGAAAGCGCCGCCAGTCAGAGGGCACCTACAGCCCGAGCCAGCAGGAGGTGGCCGGGGCCCGGCTGGAGATGGACAGTGTCCTCAAGGTGCCACCTGAGGAGAGACTCATCTAGGCCTGGCCTGGCTGCCGGCACCGGCGTCTGTGGGGTCCTCAGCTGGTGATTTCTACCTGGAGATCCAAGGAGCCTGCAGGGAAGTGGCTTGCCTCTTCTGGTCTCGGGCAGCTGCTGCAGGCTCAGGACACCCACTGGGGAAATGTCCCCTTTGCTGGCAGCCCCTGCCTCTGCTCCATTGAGGACTGAGGAAATGGGGAGCAACTCAGGGAAGCAGAGTGGGGCCTGGCGGGGTCTGGACATCTGTCTGACCTGCCAGGTTTCGACTCACCAGGTGTATGGCTGTGCATGGGAGGGGCACATGTGTGTGCGCCTGGGGTGGCGCTGAGTGTCTGCGAACATGTTAGTCTGCAGATAACTGTGTGAATGCTTTGGACAGGGCTTGTGGGCATGGCCAAATCTTTCGTGTGTGTTTGAGAGTACATAACTGTGTAGTGGTGCAGGCATTCCCATGGAGGAAGCGGCTGCACCTTGGGGGACAACCTTCACAACCCCGGGGCAGGGGTAACCCAAGGCTGGGCATTCTCCAGGAGGCCAGGCCAGGGCTTAGCCAGACACGAAGGCTCCAGCTCCACGTCTTCACCCACCTACAAAGGCTGCCCCTGCCCTGGCTGCAGCTGGAAGTCAGGGGACGGCCATGATCAGAGGCGGTGGGAGCTCCTGGTGCCTAGAACCAGTGTTCCTTCAGACAGAGCCGTCTCATGCCCTGTGCCAGACCAGTGATGCAAGGGACCCACAGGCCATACTCTGACTACATGTCTGTTCACAGCAGACCTGCAGGAGCTGTGGGGACTGGTCTGGGCTCCATGTTGCCTCCCTCCTCCGAGCCTCGTTTGTAGACTGGGAGAAGCAGCCCCTGCCTACCTCACAGGGCTGTTGTGAGGGTCAGAGAAGACGACAAAGGGGAAAGAACTTGGGAGATCGTTAAACCCTGGTCTGATGTGAAGGATTGTCTGGGTTGTCCTTTTAGGTATCTGCAACTGTCAACACCCCTGGCCGGAGTTGAGGGAATGGAAATGGGGAAGCGGCCTCACTGTGGTGCGGCAGGGAGGCCAGAGGGGGGAAAAGGATGAGGGAGCAGCCTTTCCGTTTTCGGCTCAAGGAGGAGGCAGTGCCCCCCAACAAACCTCACCCAACCACCTTCTAGTTGTCCCCAGCTCCCTGCGCTATTGAGGCAGCCTGGTGAGGTCACACCAGTTGCCTGTGTGTGGCTGTTGGGTGGATTCAGGGAGAGGACTTAGAGGACACTCTTGGGATTGTTCGTTGAGTGTAAGCGCTCAGCAGATGTCGGTGTCACCTGTCAGTGTCAGGGCTGCTACTGCCTATATTTTCCAGGTAGCAGATGCAAGGGAAGCAGTCCCTGCCCTGGCCACACCACCCATCACACTGTGACCTCTGATCCCGGTGGGCACCTAGTTGAGGGCCTAGCTCGTGTCAAGGAGCAGTGTGAGTTTCATGAGTCCCTTAACCTCTGACCTGGAATTGCACCCTTTCATCCTTCTTGTTTCCCAGGCAGCTGCCTTGTGACTGTGGGCTCCAGGTGCCAAGGCCAGGTGACCCTCTTACACATTTAAACTGGAGGGTGACTACCTAGCTCCCAAGAAGGCTTCAGCCGTCACCTGGAGGCACACAGGTTAAGGGGCTTTGTCCTTATGCTGTAGGAGCATGCTTTCCCTAACTTTCTCCATGGCCCCTGGGAAAGTAGGAGGAAGCATTTGGTACCAACACCTTAGCCACAGCTGGTTCCTTGGTTAGGTTTATTTAAGTTAGGGATTTGGCAAGCCTGTGTTGGTTGTAGATTCCTGAGAAAAGCCATTTTATGTGAGACCTCAACATGTAAAGATAAAAGCCAGGCTGCTCCATTTTGGGGAGGCCCACATCCACTTCCCTTGCTCCTAGGGTTCCGGGCACCTGTCATTTTCAAGGGACAGCCCAGGGAGGGAGGAGGGCCAGATGACGGGCAGATGGCGGCGGGGTGGGGTGAGGAACTGGGTGTGTTTAACGCACACCTGAGTGCTCCGCCCATATCACTCCTTCAAACACCAACATCCAACTGAAGGGCAGATTCTGAGGCTCTGCCCTTGCTAATGAGAGCTCTGTGGGGGCAGATTTCCAGGTGTTGCTTGAACTTGTCCTTTCCAGGAGCTGGAGTTCACTCAACACCTTCTGTGGCCTGCAGCTCCTGCTGGGTAGACCCAGCAGGCCTGTGCTCGCCTGTGACCAGACCTCCTGATATTCTTAACAGCTGCCTACGTGACTAGTCCACACCCATGTCCTGCTGCATGTGAGGGGTAGGGGATGAGCTCGGCTCAGAGCCCTGACTGGAAACAGGCTTTGGCATTAGCCAGCGTTCAAGTCCTTCCCTAACTTCTCTGTGCCTTGACCTCCGCCTTTACAGAACCGGGCTGCTTGTGACCTTGGTCTGGCCGTTGAGGCCTCCCACACTGGGCCTCCTCTCCCTCCAGAGCTTCCTTAGGGACACAGGGATAGCAGCCTTCTCCCCAAGAAGATTTTATTGAATGCACACACAAAATTCATTCTTGGGTTTGCAAAATCAATCCAGCAAGGGAAGAGACAACAGTGCTCGCGTGAATGTCGGGTGCTGGCCACCAGGCCCCCAGCTCAGCCAGGGAGACCACGGGGTGGGTGTCAACTCCCTGGAGCCACCTAGCATTTCTTAGCCTCTGCCCCGCCAGGTGGGCTGCCCAGGATGGGTGGGTGGGATGGCAGCCAGAGAACACTCCCGAGATTTGGAGAGAAATTTTGCCCAAGGCGTCATGATTGACTAGGGAAGGGGCTGTGTGCCGGGCCAGCAGCTCTTCAAACCCCCCGTCAGAGCCGACCTCAGGACCAGCCCTCGGGTCTTCACAGAGCCATGTGAAGCAGTCGAGGCCCCCCAGCCTCACAGACACTGACGGTGCTCCCTAGGGAGACGGGGCCTCCAGGGATCCCCTTGGCCCCACCAGACACCCCTGGGTAGACTGTGTCTGACCATCTACAAACAGGAAATGAGAAATCAGGTCTAAATGTTCACAATTTCCTGCATTCTCAAGAGGGTTGTTTTCTTAAATGGTTGGGCCATATTTTAACTTGGTTCATGGAAATCAGTCCATCTCAAGATTCATCAATTCAATAAGGTAAAAAAGAAAAGAGATAAAAGAAACAATAACAAAACATTTCAATTTAACTTTGGTGACATTGGTCTCAGGAATTTCTGTGCCGGCAAGAACTGGGAGGCTTGCGGGAGGGGTGGCTTCTGGCCCTCCTCCTGCCTCCAGGCATCTGTCCACTCTCCCGGGGACCTGGAGAGGAGGCTCAGTGCTACCGCCCCTTTCCAACCCAGGAAGCCCCAGCAGCTGTGCCTCTGGCATCAGTCAGTGGTATCAATTGTGGCCTTAGAGCCAGAATCGCTTCTCAGCTCTGCCCGCAGAGACCCAAGTGACACAAGGCTGAGCCCAGCTCTGACTGCAACACAGATCAGGAGACCCTGCACGTGTCGGAGCGCCAGAGAGCTAGATGGGGGCTCGCCGACACCTTCTAACGTGCTTAGATTTATGCTTTTTCTTCCTAAAAATCAGAGTTGCTGGTGCTTCCCAGCCTGCCCCCATGCGAAGCTGGTTGGGGCTATGTTTGGCTGTCACCAGAGATCCCAAGGATCTCTCAGCCCCCAAATCCCTACCACACCAAAAACAACTGAAGTTTGGGGTGAAGACTCACGTAAGAATGAACGTGTGTATTGCTAGAGGGGGTTTGGAAATACCCTACCAGGTAGATCAGTGGGGGCTGGGGGTGTCCCGTACTTCAAACCCCCAACTGTCTGCGTCCAGTGCAGATGAGTGCACGCCGAGGGGGACACTGACATCTATGACCATCACGTGGTACCTGCTAGATTGGGGCCACAGCTGAGATAGGTGAGGGGGGAGAGGCCTTGAAGAGCCTTGTAGTTCCCCGCGGGAGGTTTCCAGAGAGAAGGCGGGTAGGACATGGTCTGGGTCAGTCACTGGCCCAGCTGACTTCTTTAGTGCAAAACCCAATCAGGGGTGCCGAGGAGGGGAGGTGGTGGGTGGGATGGATGGCCAGGAGCTGGGTCGATTCCCAAGCTGGAGCTGGCACCATCTTCCCGTGGCCAGACCTCGGAGATGGGCAGTGTGCAGGGGCAGGAGGGGAGGCAGAGAGGGGCCCCCTCCCTTCCCATCAGCAGAACGTGGGCAGAAACGGGAGGCAGGGGAAGCAGAGGGCTGGCTAACATGGGCACCAGGGCGGCAGGCCCAAGGGCCTGGCTCACTCGAATGTCTCCCACTGCTTCCTGAGCTGCTCCACTGAGCCTGGGGCAGGGGCTGGGCTCACGTCTTGCTTGGTTTTCCGTAACAGATCCTCAAAGGGGTCTCTGGTCTCCAGAGGAGCAGAGGGCTGTAGCGCCGGCTCCAGGCCCTGGTGGGGCCTGGGAGGAAGGAGTGCGGGGTCTCCAGGCCTCAGGGCGAGCCCCTGCTTGGCCTCGGCGGCCCTGGCACTTGAGCGGGCCAAGGGCAACGTTCGGATCCTCGATGGGGCGATTGCCGGGGGACCCAGCGGCTGCAGGGGGCTGGTGTGGGCACCCATGGGCATCTGGCCAAAGAGGTTGGGCATGGAGAGGGCGGACAGGTTGGGCTGAGATCTATGTGGCACACAGAAATTGGAATTTGACAGCAGGAGGCTGGGTGCAAAAGCTGGCCCCAGGGTGGCAGGAGGGGCCCCAAAAGGCCCCGTGGGTGTAGAGACCAGGGGCACAGTGGGCAGCGCGGTTGGCACAGATGGGACAAAGGGGTTGAGAGATGGCTGTGGGAATGGGGTGGGGGTCCCCGCAGGGGGGAAGCTGAACTGTGGGGTGAACGGGGTGGCTACATTTGGGACAGGAGGGCCTGGTGGGAGGGTGCTGCCTGGCCAGGCTGTGTGAAGTGGGTCCAGGAGGGCAAGCAGGGCGTCGTTGCCTGTGCTGGTGGGCCCTGGTGCCAGGCTAAGAGGCTGGAGCAGTTCAGAGGTGCTATGGGGGGCAGTGCTGGTGAGGTGCCCCAGGAATGGGGCTGGGGTTGGGGCAGCTCGCCTTTCCTGCTCAGCCTGCAGCTGCTCTGAGAAGTCGCCAAGCGCGGCGCTGGCAGCCTGCAGCTTGGCTGGGCGGGTGGTGGGTGGTGGCGGCACGATCCCCAGCTCCGGGGTCTTCCTGCCCTGGGGCCGGGGAAGGGTGATACTGCCAGGAGTGGGAGTGGGGGCCTCCTCCTTGTTGCTGGGGTTCAGGATGCTGTCCCGGTTCTGGGGCCTGCGATGTAGTGCTAGGGAGTTCCCGCGCAGGGGTGAGGGCTTCTTGGGGGAGGCAGCAGGGGCCTTGCTGGGGATGGCCATGTCATCCTGGCCCAGGCTCCAGAGCTTGTTGTATGGGTAGGCGAGCTTCAAGGCCATCGGCATCCCGCAGCTTCTCTCGCTCCCGCCCAGGTCCAGCCTCTGTTTGGAGACAGCGAGGGAGACAGTGACCACAGGCTGACCCGGCACAGATGGGAAGGAAGCCCATGCTCGTTCCATGCCACTTCTGTGTACCAGGCGGGCAGGTGGGCACCCAGGCAGGTGGGTGATTAGCTCCCTAGCAGACAGGGAGATGGGACTCAGAGCAGTTGGGGACTTGCCCTAGGTCACCCAGTAGAGAACCCAGGTCTGCTGGACTTCAAGCCCAGGCTTTTCTCACCATTTGGCACAAAAGGATTGCAGAGAAATCCCCAGTCTTTTATGCCTGGGGTTGCCAAGTGGTTTCAGGAAAGCGATTCTATTGACCCAGCCCTTTTTCCTTTTCAAGGTGTGTAGGCATCCTGGATCGCCTGAGAAGGTGGGGCTCAGGGCCTGACAGAGAAAGCAGCAAGACCAGGTTTCAGTCCCTGTTCTGCCATTTACAAGCTGTGTGACCTCGGGCTGGTCATTCCACTTTACCTTGGCCTGAGTTTCCTTACAAGCCAAATGAGAAAAGCGGTCCCCTGCAGGGGGAAAAGATAAATTCTTGGACGTGTGGACACTGTAAATTCCACAGTGTGACCCAGAGACTTCAAAGTCAGCAGCCCCCACTTGCAAGCGGGGAAACTGAGGCACAGAGCAGGGAGGTGATTGATTGGAAGTTACACATGATCAGTGATTGCACAGGAATAATCCAGAACCCAGGTTCCAAGGACCCTTGATGGGGATGGGAGAAATCCCAATTTTGCCAGGGCCAAAGCCCGTGCCTGGGTGGGGGTGGGGTTCCTGAGGACATGGCTTGGAGCACCAGCCCACCTTTGCCTGATGCAAAATCGTAAGTGGGGGCAGCTTTCCATCAGGCTTTAGCGTCTTCTCCGGTGACCACTGTATGGTGGTCTGGCTGCTGGCCTGCCTGGCAGGGTTGCAGGAAGTCAGACCTTGCCCATTGGCCGAGGACCTTGGGAAAGTTGCTGTTTCTCCCTTAGTCTCTTCCACTGCCTCATGTGTGGGCAGCACCTGGCTGCTGCAGGTGCCCTCCCCGCCTATACATACCTGATAATCAAAGGTCCCCGGCTGCTCCCGCAGGTCTTTAGGCATCCGAAGATCCTCTAAGCTCTTGGCCTGGCCCAGAGGCTGCAGTGGGGCCTCCATGTCCAGGCTGCTGAAGATGTCTTCCAGAAGATCGATGCTGGCAGCCCGGTCAGGCAGAGCTGGGCCCACAGGTTCCCGAGTTCGCTGCTCCGGACTCTCTGCCTCGTCACCTTCTGCACTGTCTGACTCCTTGAGTGTCCGATATGGCTGCGGCCTAGGAGCAGACAGAGCAGGCTGGAGTCTCCCCCTAGAGCCTCCATGCGAGGAGCAAGCAGCCCCAAGGCCACCGAGAACTTGTCTTTGAGGTGCATACCCAGGAGCATTTAGGACAGGAGAGCATCCTGGGCCTTGAGGCCATAAGCCCTGCACTCGGACATACTTTTATGTCTGAATTTGGGTTCTGCCGCTCACCGTGGGACCTTCAGCAAGTTGCTTTGGCTCTCACTTGCACTGAGGGGGCCCACTGTTGTGTGCTGTCGAGTCATTCCGACTTACAGAGACCCTATATGACAGAGTAGAACTGCCCCATACGTTTCCTAGGCTGTAATCTTTATGGGGAAACCCTGGTGGTGTAGTGGTTAAGAGTTCAGCTGCTAACCAAAAAGTTAGCAGTTCGAATCCACCAGGCTCTCTTTGGAAACCGAATTCACTCGCTATGAGTCGGAACCGACTCAATGGCAATGGTTTTTTTTGTTGTTGTTGGGAATCTTTATGGGAGCAGATTGCCAGGCCTTTTCTCCCACAGTGCTGCTGGTGGGTTCGAGCCGCCAACCTTTTGGTTAGCAGCTGAGTGTTTAACTGTTATGCCATCAGGGCTGCAATGTGAGGGGGCCCACTAAGTTACCCTAAAACAACGCCAACTCCCATCATGTAACTGGCTAGGGGGCTTGCAGTGCCATTCAGACAAGGCATGCACAATGGGACACAACTGGGTGGGGAATTTGCAGACAGACACATTCCTGAGCCCACCATCTGCACTCCCACCCCTGCCCCCATTCAGTGGACAAGTAGCTGCAGAGTCAGGTCTTGTGAATGGCTCATGGGGAACTGGGGAAGCTCTTCTGTGGGTAGCAGCCCAGCAAGTCCCAGGCTCCTCAGGAAGCTGTCTGGGCTTCAGCTTGTATCGAGTTCTAGTCCTGGTCATGCCATTGCTTGCTGTGGGACCTTGGCGAAGTCACTTAGCCTCTCTGAGCCTCAATTACATGAGCAGATGTGGTGCTTGGAGCACAGCTGGCATGCAGAAGCTGCTAACAGCACCACCAGTAAGCATGACTATCATGTCGGCTGGCTCTGTGCTAGCAGCATCAAAACTGCACCTGACTCACACTAGGTAACAAACAGCTCCTCTTACCTTCCTTTCCCATAAGGCACCACAGGTGTGTGGGGAAACCCTGGCCTCTGGTGGAGTCACCAGACAGAGCAGCATCTCACCTCTAGCCACGGAAGCTGGGGCTTAGTGGCCCCAGGGTCAGGCAGAGACTGTGCACATTGCTCTGGTAAAGTGGAGAAAGGGTGCCACCTGCTGGTTCTGAGAAGGCTCACACTGAAGGCCCACTCACAGGAGATAGGGGAGGAACGAGGCTCAACCAATAGTCCCAGCTACTGGTAGGGACTCCAGCAGACTGTCTGATCTCATCGAAGCAGGTGCAAGTAGCCCATGAGGTAGGGCTCACATCCCCACTTTAGAGATGAGGAAACTGAAGCTGAGAGAGGCTAAGCAACTCACTCTGCATCACACAGCATGTGGCAAGAGATAAAAATGGAAGCCAAGTCTGAGAGACTCCAAAATCTCACAGTCACTCAGACCAAGGCCATCTAACTAAGGAATTAAAGAACATTTAATCAAGTTTGAGCACAATGAGGAGGATAAAGAAAAGGCAGTGGGCTCTTAAGCTTAAGGAAATAGTGTTCTTTTTCATCGGTTTTGTTTTGAGTGAAGATGGGCCAGTTTCTTTTTAAACAAGTGAAAAAGCATTAATTAATTAAAAAAAGAGCGTGGTGGGGCTGAGCTCTGGGCTTGACCTGCTGGAGTCCTCGGATGTCACCCAAGCTGGTGCCTTTCCCTGCAAGGTGATTTGAAATTGATGAACATTTCTTATTCTAATGGTTCTCTATTTTAATTAGTAATAGAAATACTAACTAGTACATTACACCTGTGGTATCACAGATATTATTGCTTAGGACAAGGCTAATTTCTAAGTCTTTTGGAAGAAAAATTTTAAAGAAAAAGATTCAATTAGTGTACAGGAAGGGTGGCACGTGCAGCTGGGGAGACACCAACAGGCCCCCACTTTGTAAGTGAGGACATCAGGAGGCGAGCGACATGCCTGTGGTCACAGGTGAGTTGGTGGCAGGACAGGGCTAGGGACTAGGTGTCTAGTCCAGGACCCCCTGCCCCTCGGGGGCCGAAGCAGGAGGCAGAGCAGTCTGGGGTTTATCAGGCTCCCAGAGGAATCACGGACCCACAGAGGCAGAGGGTCGTGGCCTCAGGTGAAGCCTGACCCTGGGACTTCCCAGGAAGAAGATGGTGATGGGAACAGGGAGAAGGGTGAAGGGGGTGTAAAATGGCTGTAATAATGCACTCCCAGGGGGGCTGCTGTGGGTACTGTGGGTGCTGGGCAACGCGAGGGCCCTTCCCTTACAGGCTCCTATTAAAACACTTACATGACCTTGTTAACAAACAAAAATGACAAAAGCTGTCTCTATGCTCAATCCCAGCTCTGAAAAACTTGTGGGTGGAGGAGCAAGAACTGGCAAAGAAAAGAGAACTACAAAAGCTTGATTTTGGGGGGTGGCTGGACTGTGGGTGAACCTTTTCTTTTTCCTCTTTTTCTTTCTTGTTTTTTATTGCTATTGGGAATTACCATGTAGTCTAGGCTACAAATAATAATGGTACAACTTATCTTTAAAAAGTCAGGTAGATTAGCAAAGCCATTTGGGTATGCTGCCATATATGCTTACATTTTATTACCAGTAAAGTTATTGTCTTTTAACTTAAAATCAGACCCACCATGTCCACAAGCTTTCTAAGACCTGCTGAAAGGAAGAGGGATACTGGCATCAACAAGCAGGCTAATTGTAGCCAACAATTCAGTGAATAACTAAGTGCATTTTCCCCTTATAAGGGGTGGGGACCCATCTCACACCACAGAGCCCTATTACTCCTGTCACCTCACTCCATCCTCACAGCTCCTGTGGGGACAGCAGAACGAGGGCCTCAAGAGGAGGCACACAGAGCGGGCATTTGCCCTGCAGGTTGACACTTGGGCCCCCGGCAGGCAGCCGCTCCAGACATCCTTCCCCACACCAACAGCAAGCAGCATAGGCCACCCCCACGGCCACCCCAGAGAGTCACCAAGCCGAGCTCAAGGCAAGCATCTCGTCAGGGAAATGGAAGAAGGAAGGAGAGACCATTCAAAGGGAGCGGAGAAGAAAAAGCTTTCGGTGAAGCCAGAGCTCAGGCCCTCTTCCCGCTGGCATTCATCATCAGAGGAGTCTTCGGAGAGGAAGACCGCATAGTGTCGCAAGGGCTTTACCAGGCTGGGGCAGAGGAAGACAAAAGAAAGAGAACAGGCAGTTAGGGGGCACCATCACAACTCCACGGGGCACAGTGGGAAGGAGGGCTTGGGAGACTGGGCCCAGCCAATGCCCTGGGGCTGGGACTGCTGCTGGGCTCAGCGCGTGTCCTGACCCTGCCAGCCTAGGGGACAGGCTCCCCAGAGCAAGGCCAGAAGGCACAGAGGCCTGATGGGCCCCAAGGTGTGGGAGCTGGTCCCAGACAAAAAAAGAACCTGTGGATTTGCCATATGGGCCAAGAAACAGCCTTAAACACATGATCTAGTAATCCATAACCTAGTAATTCCACTACCATTTAGATAATCTTAAATGTAGCAAGAGTTATGCACAAAGATGTTCATCACTGCTCTGTTTATAATGATAAAAAATTGAAAGCAACCTAAATTTCCAGCAATAGGAATCTGGTAAAGTGAATTACGGTAGTTGGATGAATATTACGCTCTCATTAAATATAGTGTTTATAAGATGCAAAATTGCAATTATATAGCATTCTCTGTCATTTACTTACAAAAACATGCATAGAAAAAAGACTAGAAAGATGTGTCTGAATGTCAATGACAGCCAATGCCTCTTTTTATTTTTCTGTGTCTTCTACATTTTCCACAATGAGCATATCTACTTCAATAATCAGGAAAAAATAAAAAAGAAGTTAAAGAAAGAAGTGAGCCACGTGGAAGAACACTCGCGAGAAGGCCCTTTTCTGATTAGTGGCTGCTCTCTGGAGTTTCCCTCAGATGCCTCTTCAGAGAGTCTTTTTCATCTGTGATGTGGAAATTAAATATTCATTATTATAAAAAATACATCTCCTGTGTCAGCCACCTGTGAGCTCTACCTCTAAAAACACAAACACATACACAGCCCAGAGAAAGGCGATGTCTGGCTCCTATGAATTATACACTGGCCAGGGCCCGTGAGAGGCTATGTGCTCAGGAGAGAACTGGATCGGGCAGACCTTGGTTCAAATCCTGGCTTTGAGGCTGCCTCTCCTGGCCTGTGTGCTGTGTGGGGAGCACATGTTCCACACCTCTGCCCTGTACAGTGGGGCTGTGGCTTGTCTGAGGACCCCTGGGAGTGGTGGTGAAGTTTAGGGAGAGGGTGGGATAGGAGAGATATGGTGAGTGGAGCTGTCATTATCCCCACGTCTGCCCTCCAACCCAAGAAGTCCCCTCTCTTTGTTTTATACGATGGAATTCTTTTAAGATTTTATTTCAGGAAAGGGTAACCTGTCAAAAAAAAGTACATGAAAACAGCCGAGGGGGTAAACAAGGAGCAGCAACTGTCGCCGGTAAATTATGAGAGTGGATTTGGACTGGGCTTTGCTGTTGTCCACTGTCACTGGTGTGGATCCAGTTGTTACCCAAGAATCTGTTGTTCTTTTAGAAGTAGACCAGATGCTGAATCCGAGCGCAACAGCGTGCCGGAGCGCTCTCACACCTATGCCTTCGTTTCCTCACACCACCCTGGAGGTCAGCCAGGCGACGAGTTCTGTCCTTGTACTGAAGCAGAGGTGAGGCTCAGGAGGGGAAGCCACCTGTCCAGGGTCCCACACCGGGAGGCTGTGGGGTACAGTGCTCTGTTCTTCTTCCAGCTGCCTTGCTGTGTGTTAAGATATGAGATGAGACACACCTCAGCCCTTCCTGGGCCAGAAGAAGCATTGTCCTTTGGATTCAGCAGAAAGGGCAGGAAGAAGATCTGGCTCAGAGTCATGCCCTGGATAGCCTAGTTCCTGCCACTTCTGCTGCGCCTGGACAGAAAACAAACCGGAGCAGGAGGGCCAGCTTCTCATCCTCTGCCGGTCCACTCTCCACACAGCCACCAGAGGTCTGTTTGGAATCACGAATCTGACCAAATCACTCTCCTGCTTAAAACTTGCAAAGCTGCTGTTCTGAACCATGATTTCACTGCAATCAGTTGTGGGGTGAGTACATCCATTGCATAAAGTGTTAAGAATAATAACGTTCAGACATTTGTAGAATGCTTTACCCATCTGTTTAAGTTAGGGGAATCCACTTTTGCTTACATGTACTGGACTGCTCTCCTGAGGAGGTGAGGGGTGGAGGGGTGGACAGGCACCCTGGACTCATGCTCAGCTCTGGCGAGCTCATGGCCTGCTGGGTGGGTGGGGTGAGGGCTGCTGGGCTACAGAGCCAAGGTCCAGCTCCAAGCAGGGCAGACCCCATGCTGCCCACCTGGCCCACCAGCCTCTGCAGCCTCCTCACCCACAGCCTCCACTTTAGCCATGCTTACCACCTCTGAGCACACATGGCCCTGTAACACTCCACCTTCCTTGGTGAACCAACAGCTCTGTAGTTCTGAAGACTCAGCTCAGGTATCACTTCTTCTAGGAAGCCCTCCTGGAATTCCCTGCCTGAGTTTTCTCCCAGCATGGAGTTAGCTTCTCCCAGTGCTGCATGTCTTAGCACTTCATGGATACCATGCAATTCTATTTTTGAGTCAAGCTCCTCAAGAGCAGAGCCCTGGCTTGTTCTCTTTATCCCTGCCTACAGCACAGCATTAATGCAATGGAAGTTTGCTGACTGAACAAATGAAAGCAGGCATCCTGGGAAGGTCTCTCTGGGGAGACAAGGCAACACACAAACCTGCTTCACCCATTCCTGGAGCCCTTCACGTCGCACATCTCGTGTCATCAGCTGTGGCTGCGGCAGAAGAGTGTCCCCTCTCTGGATTCCCCCATCTGAGATGCTAAGATACATAAGATGGAACAATGTTTGCAGACGAGGGTGTCAAGTGTATAAGAGCAGGCAGGATCCTTGTTAAAATGTTTAAAATAATATCCACAAGTAGGCACTAGGCCAAGGAGCCCTGGTGGCGCAATGGTTAAGCACTCGGCTGCTAAACGAAAGAGGCTGGCAGTTTGAACGCCTCCAGTGGCTCTGTGGGAGAAAGACGTGGCAATCTGCCTCCATGAAGATTACAGCCAAGAACTAATAGACCACAGCTACCACAGTCTCCACCAGATTGGGTCCAGAACAACTAGATGGTACCCAGCTACCACCACCACCTGCTCTGACAGGGATCACAATAGAGAGTCCCAGACAGAGTGGGAACAAATGTAGAACAAAATTCAAGCTCAACAAAAAGAGACCAGACTTAATGGTCTGACACAGACTGGAGAAACCCCAAGAGTATGGCTCCAGGACACCTTTTTAACTCAGTACTGAAGTCACTCCTGAAGTCTACCCTTTAGCCAAAGATAAGATGAGCCTGTAAAACAAACAATAACACACGTAGTTCAACCATATATGAGAGACTAAATGGGCACACCAGCCCAAAAGCAAAGACAAGAAGGCAGGAAGGGACAAGAAAACCAGACAAATGGAAATGCGGAACTCGAGGCTGAGAAGGGGAGAGTATTGACGCATCTTGAGGTTGGCAACCAATATCACAAAACAATTTGTGTATTGTTTAATGAGAAACTAATTTACTCTGTAAACTTTCATCTAAAGCACAAAAAAAAAAAAAAAGAAAGAAAAAAGATTACAGCCAAGAAAACCTTATGAGGCAGTTCTACTTGTCACATGGGGTCGCTATGAGTCTGAATTGACTCGACGTCATCCAACAACACCAGGCACTGGGCCAGGGGCTTTACCTCTCTTATTTCTACTCCTCACAAATGACCAGCAGGAAGGTATTACTGTACTGATTTTATAGAGGATGAACCTCCTTTAGTCAATCCACCCATCCACCCATATACCCAAGAGACACTTTCTGAGTACCTGTTGTGAGCAGGCACAGTGCTGGCTGAGCACTGGGGATTCACTGGTGAAGAGAGAAGTGATGAAGGGACCTGGCCAGGAAGTGACGAACAGGGTTCCCAGCCCAGGGCTGACCACCACCAGGGCCCAGGCTCTCCCATCAGCCAGACTGACGGTGGGCATCCAGGAGGGGGATGCTCCTCCCCCTGCTTGGGTCAACTGAACGAGGCTCTAGGTGGCCCTCAAACCCATCTTAAGTGCCTTGCTGACACCCACCAACCTGGGCCCCGTCTTTGGCTTTGACGGAAAGTACAAAGCACAGGCCAGCACATTAGCTGAGTGCCACTAAACCTGCCAGGGATTTCTGGCTTCACATAAGAGCACAAAGCTGGACTGGGCCTTGGCTTTGTCAGTTCAGGCTGCTGCAGTTCATGTCACTGTCAAAATCCAGTGCCCCCCAACACCAGTGTGATCGTGGAGGGGACTAGGGTGTGGAGGCAGTGGAAGAGAGGGAGCTTCCATTTCTAGCTCACAAACCACCTTCCCCCTGTCAGCCAGCTCTGCTGGCCAGGCTGGTTGGGCAGAGGTTCAGGCAGAGGCCAAGGGTGTCTCCTGAACATCTCACCTATCTCTCGAGAGTGACAGGGCACCCAGGTGAGAAGTCTACCCTGGCGTTTGGCCAGGTCTGAGTGTTTTCAGCCACATGGATGATGATGGTGATACTAGCAGTACTTACAGGTTGGGCTAAACGCTGTCCGTATGGTTTCTCATTAATTCCTCACCATGTCCCCATTTTGCAGATGAGGAAGCCAAGGCCCAGAGAGAAGTCACTTGCTCAGGCCACACAGCAGCTAAAGTAGAGCCGGGGATTGAATCTGGATTTGCCTTACTCTAAACCACTACTTGATCCTGCCTCTTCCGTTTCATGGATCTGAAACAATGAAATGAGAGGTAGGGTATTTCCCCCACTACTTTTAATAAACGATGAGATTTCAAAATAAACTTATTTAAATTCAGCTGCTTATGTTCTTCCATGAAACACAGTCAGATATTTATCAGAGATAAAGGATGAACATCGAAAACGTCCAGGTTTAAATTTTTTCATTAGCTTAAGGCAGAATACTAAAAAAAAAAAAAGAAAAAAAGTGTACCTCTTCCCTCGTTAACCCAATTCAGCTACTACCCTGCAGTCTGCCACCTACTACTTGCCTGGATTTTATTATACACAAAGAACTGTCTGTGCAAAGG